CTGTGCTCTGTGTATGCAAATTACCCGCCATCTTTGTCAGGTTAATTTGCATACTCCTTATTGGCTTGTGGGCATGGCTTGAGTGTAGTGGAGGGGCGGTTAATTTGCATGTTTCTCTATTATATAGGATAAGGGAACAAGAGGAAAGAAGATAGGTAGAGAGATGGATAGATAGATGCACAAACATATTCATAGCAAAATTAAAAGGAACTCATATACATATATGCATGGACATAGACAATAGGGTGTCAGAGGCCTAGGCCAGGGTCAGAACTGGATGAGGGGGGTATGGGGAGCGGGGAGGGAACATCTGTAATACTCTCAACAATAAAGTTTTAAAAAAGGAACTACTTATGACAATTACCATCATTTCTGTAACAGGTCACATGGTGGTAGTTAGTATTTATGACTGACTACCTTCTTCCACTACCCACTCTATTTCCTTTGCCTTCAACAAGTACCTTAGCTGGTCATGGTTCTTTACCTGGTGGGGTGACCCAAAGGTTCTGGGCCTTCAGTACTCCTTCCTAGATAGGTTTGTTGTCATTTTTCATTGGCCTTAATCACGGGGTACAATAATACCAAGAGACACTGAAGGATTTCCTATATTCCAGGCATACTCTTCCTAATCTCCATTGTGGACTAGTAGTCCAGTTTCTTCTTGGTAGTCAGTATCAGTCACCCAGCCAGCACCTTAACTCCCTTCTTTGCCTATTGATTCAGAGGCATAAGGATCTCAAAGTGGCCAGGTGAGTCTACTTCCAGTTTAGTGAAATTATTGTTGTGGCTCTTGGAGAAAGCATTCCTCCCTCTGGAACTAAGATCTGAAGATCAGCAGAGTAGAGTCTCAAAGCAGATATTTTGCTGGTGAGTCACTAGGGGTAACAGTGAGTGGTATCATTCCTATTTCTTTTTTTAAAAAATATATTTTATTGATTTTTAGAGAGGAAGGGAGAGGGAGAGAGATAGAAACATCAATGATGAGAGAGAATCATTGATCGGCTGCCTCCTGCACACCCCCCACTGGGGATTGAGCCCGCAACCCAGGCATGTGCCCTTGACCGGAATCAAACCCGGGACCCTTCAGTCCGCAGGCCAACGCTCTATCCATTGAGCCAAACTAGCTAGGGCGGTATCATTCCTATTTCTACCTCTTGATTCCTGTATCTGTGAATCCTTATTATGGAAAAAAACCCATATATTGGACACTGATTCAAAGCATGTTCATACTTCTGGAGAACATTGCTCCCATCCTGCAAGGTATTGCCATCTAGCTGTAACTAAGTCTTCAGAAAAGCCATTCCACTGTTCTGTCTAGACCAGCCGTGGGCAAACTACGGCCCGCGGGCCGTATCCGGCCCGTTTGAAATGAATAAAACTAAAAAAAAAAAAAGACCGTACCCTTTTATGTAATGATGTTTACTTTGAATTTATATTAGTTCACACAAACACTCCATCCATGCTTTTGTTCCGGCCCTCCGGTCCAGTTTAAGAACCCATTGTGGTCCTCGAGTCAAAAAGTTTGCCCACCCCTGGTCTAGACATTTTCTTCAGGATATTAGGGAACATGGTAAGACTAATAAATTCTGTGAACTTGAGCCCATCATTGCACTTCTTTTGCTGTGAAGTGAGTTCTGTGTTCAGAAGCAATGCTGGTGGATAAGGCATTCTTGAAGTCCATTGATGCTAATTTGACAAAAGCATTGCATGCAGGGAATGCACACCCATATCCTGAGTGGGTGTCTAGTCCAGTAAGAACAAAATGTTGCCCCTTCCATGTTGGAAATGGTCTAGTGTAATCAGCCTGCCACCAGGTATCTGACTGATTGGTGCCATATCAGGGATTTGGTGTTGGTCTCTGCTCCTGGCAGATTGGACACTCTGCAGTGGTCATAGCCTCAGTGAGTGGAAATCCATTTTGTTGAGCCCATGCATAACTTCCATCCCTGTCACCATGGCCACTTTGTTCATAAGCTTGTTTGGGGACAGTGACGGAGGAGGCTGACTGTTATCCACAGAATGGATCATCCTATCCAATTGATTTTAAAATGAAAATACTTTTTGCCCAACAAAAGTGTATATGAATATAATTGGCCAGGGTGAAAGCGGCTTAGTGGAGTTAGATTCATCCTGAATACATTTTAAAGGTATTTCAATGTTTGTATAATTTTCAGTAACACATTTGTATTAATAAATGTGGAATCAAAACTTTCTCCAGCTCAAAACAGTAGGGTTCAGGTGGAAGAATTGTAAAAATGCCTTCTATTCATTTCAATTTAGTGTGAAACATAACATAAAATATTAATGATACCCACTAAACAGGAAGGGATATATGTAGGACTATTGCAGTAGTCCAAAGAAAGAGATGAAGGCATGAATAAAAACAAAGACAATAAAGGTGGAGAGGAACAGACAAATTCAAGAGATATCTGGAAGAAAAATTATTCAGGTTCTATGATTATAAGGAGAATATAACGGGAAGTTTTGACTTGGTCATATGTTAGATGGTGGGATTTTTAGCAAAATAGTAATACATTAGGAGGGAAAGATGGTGCGTTGAGTTTTGACATGTTGAATGTGAAGTGAATATGAGATCAACCAGATTCAGAAGACCAGTAGGAAATTGTGATGAATATGGATCTAGCTTAATAAAAAGATGTGGGCTGGAAATATGGACTTAAGACTTCCTTCCTTCCTTCCTTCCTTCCTTCCTTCCTTCCTTCCTTCCTTCCTTCCAATTCCAACATTGTTTGTCCTCTCTTCCTCTTCTTGTCCCTCTTTCCCTGTACCTTCCCCATTTTGCTATTTTAATAGATGCTTCCTTGGTGATATCATACATCTTCTAAGTAGACTATATAAAGACAATATCTGATACTGCCTATACATGCAGACTACTATATGGACAATGGAAAAAATCACATAGGATGGATTTACAAAATAAGAAAATTAAAGGAAAGATTGAGAGAAAACACAATATTGAAACTTATGGATACCTATCTGAAGTAGAATTGGTAGAGGAGATAGAGAAGATAGGCAGGAGAACCAGGGAAGAGAAATATCCCAAAATCTAAGGCAGGAGAAAGTTGTATTTAAGATTAATCAGTTGCCTGGTGAAGATAAGAGCTGAAGAAAAGGGCTTTCATTGAGGTTTTATGTTTTTACTGAGTATTGCTATTGTTCATAATTAGAGCAGTTTTATCAAGAACTAAGGCTAGTTTGCAGTGGGTTGAGGAACAAATAGGAAGTATGAAAGGAGAAATAACATATAAACTGTGGAATTTAGAATTTACCACTTGAACAAGAGAACAATTAGAAGTTTTGTAAATTTTATTTTAAAAAAATTTCTCCCAATCTTAGTAACATTTTTTGTGTGCTTGGTTGGATCCTTTGGTTTATACCAGGTCAGTGAGTCCATTCTCATATGGGCCATTTGGGTTTGATGTATTCCTGGGGGTTTCCTAAAATAGAGTCTTGGCAAATAAACCTGAACTGCAGTTTCTAGGGCTTTAGATTAAGGGCAAAAAATCCTGGTATTATTCATAAAATAACTATGATCTTATTAAATAAAAATGATGACACCTGTAGTTTGGTCATTCCAAAAGAGTGCCTTTCCCCCATTTGGTAAGGTAAGTATTTGCCAAAGTGATATACTTGTTGCAGATGTATTTCTTGTAATGAAATGTTTTAATTGTATCAGAAAATTACTAGGAGAAATAATGTGTAATGTATTGAATTAAAAAGTCCTAATTTGCTTAATAAGTGAACTGTTCACATTTTAAAAAATGACATCATCTGTTTGGGTAACTGGGGTAATGGAGTACCATATGTTTTAATTAGGCACTTAATAGTTTTTATAAAATAGAGTTTTAGTCTGGCATTTGTTTTGTTCCTAATATTCTGAAGAATAAAAGGAGCCATTCTCATGCTAGTTCAGTAGGAGATTGTTCTCTATGACTCTATTTTGAAATTTTGAGTTGTCACTTTTTCTTTACTACATTAGTTAAATGTAAAGTGATACTTTATTTTAGGAAGTCTTTTAGAGTGGTGAATTGACATATTTTTGCTTTTTTTTTAGAACAATTTTTGTGTAGAAACTGGTTTACTAGTAAAAGGAGATTTTTTAAGTGGCTGCATTGCTATTCACATTATAGCATAGGAGAGGAAATGGAAAGGTTTCATGCTTCTATGGTTAATTTGTTCATGCAGCATCTGCATTTTTCTCTGCTTCCAACACTAATTTTTATGCATATTTTTAAAAAGAGATCTACATTTCTAAAAGAAAATACATTTTTGTTTTGCTGGGATTTAGGATGGTTCACATTATTGTGGATCCCTTGTTTTTATTTCTATTAAATTAAAATAGAATTTTCAGTAAATGTGTACTTAAGTGTAGTCCATAACAGTACTGTCCAATAGCAATATAATGAGCCACATAGGCATTTAAAATGCTACCTTAAAAGTAGTAATTAATAATTACAGGAAAGTGAATATTTTTGTTTAACTTGGTATATTCAAAATATTATTTGAACAGGTAATCAATATAAAAGTTATCAATGAGATATTTTACCTTTTATATTTCATATTTTCAAAATTCAGTTTGTATTTTCCACTTACAGCCTTTCTCAACTTGGCCGAGCCACATTCAATGCTCAGGAGCCACAGGCGGCAAATGGTTACACTATTGTACAGTGCAGGTCTATAGAATCAGGACAAACTCTTAGTATCTGGATAGATAGAAAGATAAAGAGACATTTTCTATAAATTGGATTTGATGAGTGTAATAACTGGTTACCAACACCCAATAATGTGATCATCTTTATGGATGTCAAACTTTTTTATTCATTGAAAAGTTATTTGGAGGAGATATGCTAAAAATATTGGGTAGATGGAACTTTTATGTTTGATTGCCCTTAATAACTGTACTGTGCCATTGCATTTATTTCTATTATACGTACATGTTTATGCTTCATGAAATTTCAGTATATGTCTGTAATTTATAGCATAAATGCAGTTCCAGCTACAGTGAAGATTTTGTGCTACAGCTAGAGAAGGAATTGGTTCAGGCCCGTCTGAGGGAAGCCGAGGCTCAGTGTGCACTAAAGGAGATGCAGGATAAAGTCCTGGATATGGAGAAGGTGAGACCAACATAAATGCTGTTACTCCCAAATTAAAGGGACATGTGATAGATATTTAAGTACTTATTGAGCAGTTCAGTTGGATTTGGTGATTTTACACATTAGAAACCTTACATATTAGATACTGAGAGATGAAAGGAAAAAAGTAAGATTCCCAATTATTCTTTGTTGTTGCCATACTACTCAAAGCCCCATATTTAAGGGTAAAAGTAGAGATTAGAGTCCTTTTACAGGAAAACAGGATAATTTTGATATGAATAATATTTAAATGTTGGAGAAGAGAAACTTAGGGGATAGAAATTAACTGTTCTCAAATATTGTAATATCTTCTTCTGCAAGAGATTGGATATGACTAATACATAAACATTTCAGGGAGAATTTCATCTGAGTATAACTGTCGCAATTTTCCAAGGTATAGTAAGCCACCTCAGGAAGATCTTAGCTTGAGGTATGCTACGGAAGCTAACTTATCTCTTTTCAAAGTCATTAAAGAAGTTGAAGGGTTAGGCAAATAGTGGAAATAGAGCAGGAAATAATTTAATGAAATAGAGCAGGAAATAACTACAGTCAGTAGTGGAATAATTTTGCTAGAAATCTGCTTGCTATTTTACATTTTTTGGGGAAAATTTATTCTGTTTATTGAGAAAAAGGCCAATAAGACTGTGAACATGCCTAACAGAATATTTGGTCTCTAACTTGGGAGTTTTATGGGCTCCATGATGTAGATAAGAAACTGGGCCTCTCTGTTTTGAATTTTTGGTAGTAAGAAATGTCCTTGAGTCCATTTTAAAAATGGATTTCTTAAGGAGCTTTGTTGGTATTCATGGCATAGGATAGAAAGGAAATTGGAAGGTTTTGTGCTTCCTATGGTTAATTTCTTCATGCAAGGCTCTCTTTTTATGCATATGCAGTAAATTTTTGGTTTTTCATAGAGAAAATATTTAAAGTTCATCATAAAAATGTGTAGTTGGCAAGAACCACTTTATTTATTCAGAGATAGAAAATTTCATAGATTCAAGTTAGTCTCATTAGTACCTCAGTTTACCTATGGAACTTTTACTGGGCATCTCATTTAGGATCTCATGGTCACCTCCCAGAGCATTTTAATTCAGGGCTACCCTATATCTTTTTTAAAAATATATATTTTATTGATATTTTACAGAGAGGAAGGGAGAGAGATAGAGAGTTAGAAACATCGATGAGAGAGAAACATCGATCAGCTGCCTCCTGCACACCTCCCACTGGGGATGTGCCTGCAACCAAGGTACATGCCCTTGACTGGAATCAAACCTGGGACCTTTCAGTCTGCAGGCCAACGCTCTATCCACTGAGCCAAACCAGTCAGGGCTACCCTATTTCTTAAGGTGGGTCTTTCAGTATGGTAGGAGAGTAATCTAACAGTCACCTAACCTAATAGTAGTATTAATTTTGTAACTATTGACATAAATAGTGACTAACTCACAGAGATTTTATACTCTCCAAAATGACATGCTGAGAAAATACAACAAAACAGATTTTAGGCTATTCTTTTCCATGAATCTTTAAAATGTCAATGATGTTATGCTTCATTTGGATTCCTAACCACAGGTGAGTAAATTTATTGCCATGTTGAAAAACATTTTTAATTCTATTGGTTTGTAACACTGATTAGTATTATTAAACAAAGTAGAGTTAGACTTTCTGTGTTCTCAGAATTAAGTAGTTAGCCTTACACATTCCTGTGGGAATGTAAAATAGTGCAGCTGCTTTGGAAAAGATTAACAGTTTCTTAAAAATTAAATGTGGAATTGCCATTTGATTCAGCAGTTCTGCTCTTTGATATATACTCAAGAGAATTAAAAACAGGTCCACACCAAAACTTTTACACAGTCATAGCAGCCTTGTACATACTGGCCAAAAAGTGGAAGCAACACAGATTTCTGTCAACTGATGAATGTATAAATAAAATATGGTATATCCATATAATGAACGGAATGTTATTTGGCAAAAAGAAAAGGAATGAATCTTAAAAAATGACAAATGAAAGAAACTAATTATAAAAGCCACCTATTGTATGATTTCATTTATTGGAAAATGTCCTAAATAAGCAAATCCATAGACACTGAAGGAATAAGGGCTGCCAAGGGCTGGGGGGAGGGGAAATGTGGAGTGATTGGTAATGGGTATAGGGTTTCTTTTGGGGGTAATTAAAATGTTTTGAAATTAGATCAAGATGTTGGTTATACAGCCCTGTGAATCTCTTAAAAACCACTGACTAGTCTATATTAAAAAGAGTAAGTTTTGTAGTTTATGAATTACCCTAAAAATAAAAGGCTAATATGCAAATTGACTGAATGGTGGAACGACCAGTCACTATGACATGCACTGACCACCAGGGGGCAGACGCTCAATGCAGGAGCTGCCCCCTGGTGGTCAGTGCGTTCCCACAGGGGGAGCGCCACTCAGCCATAAACCCTGAGCTGGGCTCACGGCTGGCGAGTGCAGTGGTGGTGGCAGGAGCCTCTCTCACCTCTGCAGCAGTTAGACATCCCCCAAGGGCTCCCAGAATGTGAGAGGTCACAGGCTGGGCTGAGGGACCCCCCCCCCCCCCCAGTGCACGAATTTCATGCACCGGGCCTCTAGTATCTCAATAAAATTAAGTATAATTATATATGGGATAAAATAGCTCTTATATGCTTTATTTATTTTATTTTATTCTTTACATTTAAAAATCCTAAGTTAAATTTTTTCTTGCTTTAGAGAAACAACTCCTTTCCTGATGAGAATAACATTGCAAGGCTTCAGGAAGAACTCATTGCTGTGAAACTGAGAGAAGCAGAAGCTATTATGGGTTTGAAAGAACTTAGACAACAAGTCAGAGATTTAGAGGAACACTGGCAGGTATATCAATATGTTGTATGTGCTTTCTAAAAAGAGGGTAAAACCTGAATATTCAATTTGTATGAGTTTGAAGTAGTTGATGACCAACACTGGGATATGACTTTAAAGTATGAAAGACCCTGTATAATGTACACAACTGAGAGAATTTATAAGTTGCAAGTACCTTTAACTGTTTCTCCCTTTTTAACTCTTATAATTAAAGAAGATAAAATGGAGATCATCATATTTTTGCTGTCATATCATTGTAATTTATATAATTTTTTCTAAAAACCTATAAAGAAATAATCCTTTATATAGTACATATTTCTTCAGTTGATATTAAATCCATTTTTCAGTATGAGATAGTAGAAGGCTGACACCAATATAAATTTGTAACTTTTTATTTATTTATTTATTTTTTAAAAATATATTTTATTGATTTTTTACAGAGAGGAGGGGAGAGGGATAGAGAATTAGAAACATCGATGAGAGAGAAACATTGATCAGCTGTCTCTTGCACGCCCCCTACTGGGGATGTGCCTGCAACCAAGGTACATGCCCCTGACCAGAATCGAACCTGGGACCCTTGAGTCTGCAGGCCGACGCTCTATCCGCTGAGCCAAACCGGTTAGGGCATAACTTTTTATTTTTTAACCCTCACCCGAGGGTTTGGGGGAGACAGAGAGAGAGAAACATCAATGTGAGAGAGACACATCAGTTGGTTGCTTGGTTGCTTCCTGCATGCACTCCAACAGGGGCCTGGGATTGAACCTGCAACCCAGGTACGTGCCCTTGACCAGGAATTGAATCTGCAACCGTTCGGTGCACAGGCCAACACTTTAACTACTGATCGATGCCAGTCAGGGCTGTAACTTATTTTGAAAATTGGTATCTCACAAAATAGATCAGATATTTAGCTAGTTATATGCCAACAAATGTATTCACATATGAGGGAAACTGTTGACAACGAACAAAAATACAGATGCTATAAGAAAGGGAGAGCGGGAAGAAAACAGAAACTACACAGCATTTCAGAATAGTGATCTTGGTTTGAATTTGGGGTAAGTGATGCATCTAGAAAAGACTGAAATTAATCCATGGCATGGTCATAGCTTTTTTGGTCAAGTATCAAACAGCAATAAACTGGAAATTAAAAATAAATAATCCGTGCCTTTGCCACAGGTATTTTTAGAACACTGTTCTTAACTGCTAATATTGCTTCCTTAATTCATGAATAGCCCCACTTTTTCCTTTTCTTGGGATTTCATTAAAAATAATGTGAAAAATCTCATTAAAAATTAGGGTAAAAATTGTATTGTTTATAATAATTAATTCACAGTATTAAAAAATTGAACTATATCTGAGTTATCCCAAATCTTCTACTTACTGGCAGTGAGATCTACAGTGTGACCTTTCTGAAGTTATTTAATCACAATTTGCATTTTTTTTCATACCTGTATAATAAAGGTAATAGTGCCTAACTTTTTAGATGTTTCTGGGGATTAAATAAAATACTGCGTATAAAGTGCTTAACATACTACTGGATCTAAAATAATTGCTCAGTAAAGTTAGCTCTTATTTTGATACTGGGAATATTTGTTGCAATATAATTTTTTGTGTTTTAGCGCCACTTAGCTCGTACTACTGGGAGATGGAAAGACTCACCTAAGAAAAATACTGTGAATGAGTTACAAGATGAATTGATGACCATTCGACTTAGAGAAGCAGAAACACAGGCAGAAATAAGAGAAATAAAACAAAGGATGATGGAAATGGAAACACAGGTAAGATGGAAAGCCCAATATCTTTAAAAATATCATTAGCAAATCAAAAATTTATTCACAGATTGAATCATCCCTAGAATAGAGCTAAAAGGTGGACATGTGAAACTATCTAGACTACAATTTTGTAGCCAAATAAAAAGGGCTAAAATTATGGTTTTTGATATCAGAGACGTAATGTCTTTGAGCCATTCAAAAAAGTTTAAGCAAGTGGTAATGCTCCATTTGACTTTGTTAGCTTGTTACACAACTTGAGAGGGAATGTTCATGTAGAGCAGATTTTTCAATCTCAACACTGTTAGCATTTTGGACAAGGTGAAGTCTTTATTGTGGGGACTGGCTTGTGCATTTTAGGATGTTTAGTAGCATCCCTGGCCTCTACCCACTAGATGTCAGTAGCACCTCCCCAGTAATGACCAAAAATATCTCTACACATTGCAAATGTCCTTGGCAAAATTCCCTAGTTGAGAATCACTGGTATAAAATATAATGTGAAAAATGATTCCTAAAGTTGTGTAATGTGATTCTGAATGAGTCAGTTCAAAATTACACTTCTTTCTTCTCAAATCCCCCTTTCTCTAATAAACTCTATCTTAAATATATTTAAGATCTGAAAGGTCCTTTTTATGACATCCATTTGTATTATAAAGGTACATATAGTTTTTATGTGATGCATTTGTGTGGGCCATGTTCTCTATTCTTTGTAATGTTAATTTTGTTTTCAAAATACTTATTCAGTCAGTAGGGGGCATAGTTAACTCACGTATCAGTCTATAAACTTATGTGCAAAAAACAGTCATTCCAACCTGAACATAACATGAATATGTAAATCCTTTAAAATAAATAAATATATTTTGTTTTACATTGTTCAAAGTTATTTTCTTGTATTTTTCATTGTAGTAGTTAAAAATAATAGTAAGATGAAAAGTAGAAATCTAGTTTTTATAATCAAATGTTATCTCAGTATAGACATTAAAGATGCAAACACAGCTTTTAAGCCATGTTCAGGATTTATTTCAGAGTGGGTATAAGTGAATGAGTCAAATTCAACAAATGTGGTTTTGAGAACTTGTGATAATAAAGTACTGTCCAACCTTCCAAGAACTTATACTTGAGTAATCAGGTATTCACAAACTATATTTAATATAATTTATTTTCTGAGATGATAGATGTTAATTAAGTATTGTGATAATCACTTCATAATATATTTAAGTCAGGTCATTATGCTGTACACTTTAGATTTATACCAGTGATGGCGAACCTATGACACGCGTGTCAGAGGTGACATGCGAACTCATTTTTTTGGTTGATTTTTCTTTGTTAAATGGCATTTAAATATATAAAATAAATATCTAAGTCTTTGTTTTACTATGGTTGCAAATATCAAAAAATTTCTATATGTGACACGGCACCAGAGTTAAGTTAGGGTTTTTCAAAATGCTGACACGCCAAGCTCAAAAGGTTCGCCATCACTGATTTATACAGTGCTATATGTCAGTTATATCTATACTAATAAAAGGGCAATATGCTAATTAGACCGGATAGACTGGACGTCATTCCGACATCATTCTGGACAAAGCTGGGGCACGGGAGAGGTCGCCTGGGGTACCGGGTGCCTGCTCTGTGGCTGGCCCGGGCAAAGCCAGCCCAGGTCCCAGGTGCCTGCGGCCTGCCAGAGGGAGGGAAACCTGGGTCCCGGGTGCCTGAGGCTGGTGGAGGACGGGATGCCTGGGTCCTGGGTGCGTGGGCAAAGGCAGAGGCAGTTAGGGGCGATCAGGCAGGCAGGCAAGCAGAGTGGTTAGGGGTGATCAGGCAGATAGGCAGAGTGGTTAGGGGTGATCAGGCAGGCAAGTGGTTAGGAGCCAGTGGTCCCGGATTGTGAGAGCGATGTCTGTCTGCCGGTTTAGGTCCGATCCCTGTGGGACATCCCCCGAGGGGTCCTGGATTACAAGAGGGTGTAGGCTGGGCTGAGGGACTGACCTCCCCTCCTCCCCCGTGCTTGAATTTTGTGCACCGGGCCTCTAGTCTTAATATAACTGGAAAAATATATAATCAGAAATGTGGTAATTAGAGAGTTGGAAATCGCTATGGAGAATGGAGGGGAAAATTAGTTCCAACTAGGTGGTTTGGGGGAAGGTTCCCTAAGGATTTTGTATTTTGAATTGTAACCTGACTAATAAGTGTGATTTTGGATGAATTTTGCTAGAAGAGAAATGATTCCTAAGTGCCAGTGCTTGAACTAGAGATGATCTGTGAAGTTTTCCCATTGCAAAATGTGAAAAATAAAAACGGTGGTTTAATAGTAATGCTATATTAATCATTCAAAGAGTTTTACATCAAACACCTATGTACCCAGCATCCAGGTTAAGACATGTGTCCTTGTTGATACATATAGCTCCAGTTCCTTCATTCCTAATGACTTTTAGAAAAGTCCACCTAGTGTGCATACCTTAGTTATTGAACCACACAATCTTTGTACCAATTTTGCTATTATAAATTGTGCTGCTCTGAACATTCCTGCACATGTTTCCTTGTGTATATCTCTAAGAGCTTCTTTTATAAGGGGGTTTTATTATTTTTCTGTGCCATGAACCCCCTTTTCAGTCTGAAACCCATGACTCCTTCTCAAAATAATGCTTTTTAATGCATAAAATAAAATATATAGGATTGTAAAGCAAACCAGTTACACTGAGATACTATTCTTAAAGTGCTAAAAGGCAAACAAGGTTGTGACAGGACATTTACACCGAGACATATACAACACGTGACCATTGCTAGATTCAGGTTTTTCATACTTTAGGTTTTGTTGTACCTAAGTTAGATTTTCCTTTTTGGGGAGACTCTTTCCTGATTTTTGCCCCAAGGTGAATGAGTTGGGTTGTATTTTATCTTTTTCTGTTCTCAGGAATTTTATATAAGATTGGAGTTACTCATTATTTTAATATTTGCTGGAATTTCTATCTTTAAACAGTCTTATTTTGTGTGTATAGAAACTATTGATCCTAGCTGTTGAAGGGTTACCGATCTCAGGTTTTCCGTGTCTTCTTGAATCTGGTTTGGTAAGATAAAGCAAACTTCTGCAAGACTTCAAGAAAATAAAGAAGACACAAATAAACACTATTAAGAATTAAAAAAGGAACATGCCTGGTAAATACAGGGTGGGGCAAAAGTAGGTTTACAAATTTGTATGGAAAAAAATTTGTAAATAATGTACAGTAAGAATAAACTCTGTTTTGCATACTCACAACCGTAAACGTACCTTTGCCCTACCTGGTATAGATTCAGTGAAAATACTTTTTTAAAAGATTCTCTGAACAACTTTAAGTGATAAACTTGAAATTTTCAAATTTCAATGAAATTTGACAGTCTCTTTTGGGAAATATGAGTTGAGTGGTTTTTACTTTACTTTTTCTCTGAGTTTCTTGGACCTGTGGATTTATGTGTACCATAAAATTTGGAAAATTCTGGGTCATTATTTCTCCAAATATTCTTCTGTTTCACACTGTCTTCTTTTGGTATTTCAGTTACACATGTGTTAGATTGATGACCAGCAACTCTTGGATTCTCTCTTCTTTTTCTCTCCATTATTTTGATATTACCTATCTGATCTTGCATGTTTTTCACCTTTTCCTTAGAGCAGTGTTTCTCAACCTTCTGGCCCTTTAAATACAGTTCCTCATGTTGTGACCCAACCATAAAATTATTTTCGTTGCTACTTCGTAACTATAATGTTGCTACTGTTATGAATCGTAATGTAAATATCTGATATGCAGGATGGTCTTAGGCGACCCCTGGGAAAGGGTCGTTCAACCACCAAAGAGGTCGCGACCCACAGGTTGAGAACCGATGCCTTAGAGCATTTAGCACATTAATCACACTTATTTTAAATACCCTGTCGATAATTTTAAAATCTGTGTCATATAAGAAGCTGGTTCTGTTGATTACTTTGTCTCTTGGTAATGTTTTGTTTTTCTTACCTTTTCCTAAGCTTTGTAATTTTCTGTGTTGAACATTGGATACCTTGTGTAGGACAGTAGACTAAGGTAAATAGTTTTTATGCCTGGTTATGCGCACACCTTTCCTTCTGCTGGGACTTTAATGTGGGGGATTTGAGTTAATATAGTTAGGAGTTGGGCTGGGTTTGAGGTTTGTTTCTGTGGTTAACCCTCATTACACCACAGACTTCAAATTCCTCTAACAATATCTTATTTTTAGATTGGGGGCTGGTTTGCCAAAGCATTTTCTCAATGTCTCTAGGTCTTCCCTTTGCATAGCACCTCAGAGAGAGTCATTCTCTAGCAGTATTCCAGTTACCTGTTACAGGAAGTTGGCTGTTAGAAAATACCTCTGTCCTATTGTTCTGATAAAGTCTCAGCCTTAGGCTGCACTGTCCCTGGACCTGGGGTATTTGGCCTTCTTAGTACTCCTGCCCGACCCCCAACTATAGTCCTAGGCCCATATATAGTCCTGCCCCTTCCTCAGATACAAAAATTTCCCTAGTGCCCCAAGGAGATTAGTATTCCAAGCAAATTAAACCTTTTATTCCTTAAAGGAGGCAAGCAAGAGTTAGTGCCCCTCCCGTATTGGCTGCTATTCCCCTCCCTCAGGCCTGTACCGTTGACCTCTCTTTTTCAAGGTTCTTATCAGTATTTTTTGTGTATACTGTTGGGGCCCGTGAAGAGATTTGTGAACTTTGCTGCGCCCTTGGGCTCCACACTTGGCCTCCACCAATCTGATACTTATTCTAGTTGAAATATGCTTAATAGCTTCTGACTGCTTCTGCCCTTGTCTCTCCTTAGATTTGGGGCTAGTTGGTTGCCCTCTGACCTCACTTCTATGGGTTCAACAAAAGTCATGAATGTAGAGTTTGACTGGCATTTTTTCTTTTTTTAATTGAAAGGGTGGGCACAATGCACTTTCTGACTCTCTAGATTCCTGACAGAATTCAAAAGTCTTTATTATGATATATTTGGAATTACTTTATAATTTTTATGTCTTCCTTTTCTCTGCTTTTTCCTCCTTTATTGCTTTTTATTGGCTTACTTTCATTTTTCTTTCTCTCTTCTAGTGTGACTTTCATCATTTCTATTAGTGTATATTACTTGAAAAATATTGAAAATGCTTACTTGACTAAACAAAGACTAAAGTTAGTAATTATCTCTGTCTTCCTTCCAAACTGTAGTAAGGGCCTTAGACGAACTTCATGTGCTCTTCTTCCATCTTCAGATCTTACATTTTACTGTTATTGTATATCTTTTTTTATACATCCAAATTACTAGACATTATTGTTGTTTTATGGAGTCTGTGCTCGTTTGAATTTACCTATTTTACCAATTTTTTGCTCTCTATTCTTACTTTTATTTAAGTTTCTTTACAGTTTCAATCATATATTTATACTCTTCCTGAAAATAAATATGCTTTCTCTCACTCTTGTGTAAAAGTTTAGCTGAGTATAGTATTGGAGGATGAAATTTATTTTTTTAAGCACTACATATTTTTCCTGTTGATATGTCTGCCAGATATTTCACTTTCCCCCTTCACAGACTCAGATTTTACCTTCGTTTGCCTCTTCTTTTCTTTAGCATTCTAAGCTTTGTTACATTCTGTCTTAGTGAGGATTTTATTTGTCCTGTTTGGGACTAGTTGTGTTTCCTGAACTTCATGTGGATTTATATGTAGTTTCTTTTTTTTTCTTTCAGTTGTAAAAAATTCTCAACTATTATCATCTCTTAGATCAGCAATTTTCAGCCGGTGTGCTGCAAGAATTTTTAAAACATGCAGTATTTAGTCAGGGACACTGACCTCTTTTCCCTTAGATCAGGGGTGGAGAACCTTTTTTCTGCCAACAGCCATTTGGATATTTATAACATCATTCGCAGGCCATACAAAATTATCAACTTAAAAATTAGCCTGCTAAATGGGAAATATCTGTAATACTATTAACAATAAAACATATATTTAAAAAAATTAGCCTGCTATATTTGGTCAAACATTTAATTAACTCACCCCTAATGACTTGGCCAGACCAAAGGATTTTGCGGGCCTTATGTGACCCGTGGGCCAGATGTTCCCCAATCCTGCCTTAGGTTGTCAAATAAAAAAATGACAACAGCCAACACAATAGAAGCCATCCTATATGAATGAATAAAAACTATGTCCTTTTTTTGTAAGATTGGCAAAAATATAATATCTTTCTGGTGTGCCAGGAAACAAAAAAGGTTGAAAATTGCTGTCTTAGACCATCATCTCTCACCTCCTTTTTTATTTTACTTTATTTTATCCTGCAACCTCTATTAGGCAGTTTTGGGTTTTTTTGTACTTTCTTATTCTCTTTTCTATGTCTGATTTCTGAGACACTAATTGTTTCTTCAGTGTATTTAATCTAACCTTTAATTGGATTTTTAATATCAGTGGCTATATTATTTTTAGAAATTGCACTTGGTTATTTTTTAAAATTTGTCAAATTTTCTTGACAGTAACTTGTGCTTTGCTTTTGCTTCCTTTCTTATGTCTAATAATTTTGAACATAAATTATCTCATATAAAGTCCCTGTGATTTTATTATATAGGGTTCTTAAAAATCTCTTCTTGCTATTTTTTTATCTACTGTTTCTCATTCATAGCCAATTTTTGGGTTTTATGTGTGTTTTGTCATTCTGGGTCATGGAATTGTAATCAGGGTGTAGGAGGAGTTTTATCTGTGGGAATTCTTTACAGCTTATCTTAAAGGTATGTTCCTCTGTAGTATAGTTATTTGTTTTAATGGTAGAAGGCAAGGCAGTAGAAAGAGGTGGTGGAACATTTTGAATACAATACCAAGAGTTTACTACAATTTTGTAGACAGACAGTATTCGTTGAAAATGAAAAGGAAGAGAGTAATATAGAGGCATTACTTAGAAAGGAGGCATTTCTTCTGTGAGTCAGAAAGATAAGTAAAAATGAAGATGAAGAAACCCAGAAGTGGTAAAAAAATGTTGGAGCTTAAATCTATTAGATCATCCAGATTTTTTATTAAAACTAGAGGCAGGGTCGATTTCAGAATAGATATGATAGGAACAATTGAGCATTTATTAAGTATCTGTTAAATTTCAGGCATTGTGTGAGACTCCTTTCATAAACTTTTCTCTTTAATTCTTACAACATAGCCTTAAAAGGCAAGTGGGAATGTCTATGCTTATACCAGTGTACTGAAATTTGATGGGATTAGATAACTTGACCAAGGCTGAAGAACTGTTAAACGAGGAGCCAGATTTTACTTGTCTTTGGTTATGAAAATTCCTATTGTTGCTTTCAGGCCCCTGATAGAATAATTTGAGGTTGAGAAAATTCAGGCTGGGTTAAGCCTGAATGGAAAAATTATCTCAAGTCAGTTGATTCAAGTTCTATGGGTTTTTTTTTTAGCATGTTCTGTAATTATAATACATGAAGCAGCTAGTGTTAATTGAGTTCTTATTATATATTAAGCTAGTTACATGTATTATCTCAGTTAATTCTGAAGAAAACCAAATGAGAAATAGGTAGTATTTTTTAAATTGATTTTAGAGAGAGGAAGGGATAGAAAGAGAGAGAAAAAGAGAGACAGGAAAATATCGATGTGAGAGAGAAACATACATCAATCTGTTACTACCTCAATGTGCCCAACTAGGGATTAAACCCACAACCTAGGTATCTGCCCTGACTGGGAATCTAACCTGCGACCTCTCGGTGTATGGGATGATGCTCCAACCAACTAAGCCACAGAGGCCAGGATAGTAGTATTTTTATATACATTTTCAAGTAAGGAAATTGAGACTCAGAAATATTAACTAGTTAGCTTAATCACCAAATAGTAAGCCAGAATTCAAAATCAGTCCATGCTCCATGAAAGTAGACTGTTCTGTGTATTGGAGGAATGTAGACATGCACATGGAACATTTTTGACCACAGGTTTACGTCCAGTAAATGGTGATCACACCTTCAATTGGTCTGTGCTTTATTTTGAGAATTGGAAAGAAGAGCTAAATTCATCCTCATCCTGTATCTACCCACTTTGTACCACATTGCCTATTTCAGAAATTAATACCTTCAAGTTCTATGTGACCATCCTTGTAGTTTATAGGTATTTATTATATAACTAGAGGCCCAGTGCACTAAATTCATGCAAGGGGGAGGGGGAGTTCCTTCAGCCCCGCCTGTACCCTCTCCAATCCAGGACATCCCTCTCGCAATCCAGGACTGCTGGCTCTTAATTGCTCACCTGCCTGCCTGCCTGATCACCCTTAACCACTCTTCCTGCCTGTCTGATCACCCCTAACTGCTCTCCCCTACTGGCCTGATCGCCCCTAACTGCTCTCCCCTGCCTGCCTAATCACCTCTAACTGCTCTCCCCTGCTGGCCTGATTGCCCCTAACTGCTCTCCTCTGCTGGCCTGATTGCCCCGCCACTGTGGCTTTGTCCGGAAGGATGTCCAGAAGATGTCCGGTCTAATTAGCATATTACCCTTTTATTAGTATAGATGGTAAATTGAGCTATAATGAGAGTTTCTAATTATGGACCTTATGAATTCATTAATTTGATTTTAAAGCAGTTTTATAAATCTTTCACTTTTTTTAGTTTTTAAGTATTTGTTGAATAAAATCTACCTATAAGTAATATACCAACATTTTTTATAATGTTGTATAAGCATGAAATGGGTAGGTAGAAATTTGTGGGTTTTTTCAGGCCTTTTATCTGTATAATCTGAGTATTTGTATTTTTTATTATTAGAACCAGATCAATAGTAACCATCTTCGAAGAGCAGAACAAGAGGTGGTCAGTCTACAGGAGAAGGTGCAGTATCTTTCTGCGCAGAACAAAGGACTGCTTACTCAATTAAGTGAAGCAAAACGCAAACAAGCAGAGATTGAATGCAAGGTAAACATATCAAGTAGCTAGTTGTTTTTGTCAATATAAAAATTCCTGTTTTGTTTTATCTCATTATTGATTACATCATCTTTAAACCAAATAAAGCCATAAAACTAGTTTAATGTTCCAGTTTTTCTGAACTTGGTTTGGTGGTTGCTTTCAGACCAAGGTAGGGCATCTTGCTCTGAGGTGGATTTCAGGCAGGCAACCTCGTTTTCGACCACATGGTTAAGCGCCAGTGCATGAAATTAAGTTAACCAAGGGGTTAAAACTGGTATCTGTCTGCAACATTTCTTTTGACCAATAGCCCTTTAAAACCAAAGCTTTCAAGGTCTCAACCAAGAAGATAGGTAATTTAGAGAGGTTAGGGCAGCTCTGCTTTGATAGGTACTTTATTAGTGGGCAGTGAATATATTCACATGTTTTCTGGATAGAGTAGAGAGCAAAAGAAATGGGTGTGTGCCAATGGATTGGGAAGACTGTGTCCATTTCTCATTATTATTTTAATAAGTTTTTCTATTTTTGTGTGAAGTGTTTTGAATTCATAAAGCATGTAAAAGAATTAGAATGCAAGTATGTTTTTTCCTGAAATAAGTTTGTAGTATAGCAGTGGTGAAAGAGAGAGGAGATGGGAAGTGGGGTGGGAGGAGAGGGTGTGTGTGTGTGTGTGTGTGTGTGTGTGTGTGTGTGTGTGTGTGTGTGAAATAACTAAAGAGATGTTGTGGTCTGAGCATTAGAATGGATTGCTGAGGACAAGTTACGGGATTTAAAAAATAAACTAGATATCCATCTTTCCATGGTGAGATAGTAGGAATGATGCCCTTTAAAGATTCCAGTCATATTATTCTATGATAAGAAATAAGACTTTCAGTGGCACATATAAAGCTGTAATTCCATCAACTTGTTCTGGTGTCATTAAAAACCAAGAGTGAAGCTTGAGTGGTTTATCAGTGTCACTGAAATCCAGAGATGAAATTACATCCTAATTAATATGCATGGCTGTTACAATTTACACTGACAGAAATCTGTAGGCAGTACTGAAATTTGTACTAATTTAAGAGGAGTCCCTCTTGAAGTATATGACTAGACTAATTTAGAAATAAAATGATGTGGCATGAGTTTATATCAACTTGATTTGTTATACTAATATTTTACTGAGTTTTTATTATGCTATATTGTCTGCTGACTCATTTTTATTTAAGAACTAAATGTAATGTTTTTCATTATTGCTATAAGTTTTTATTAAAACATGTTGATAACTCTGTTATTGGATTTAATATTTCTCCTCAAATGCCTTCCCACCTTTTAATCAAAGTAAAGTGTTCTTTGGAAATAAATATTTGGGGAATTTGCTGATGAAAATAATTTTCTTTGAATTTATCTAAGCAATAGGCTCAGATTTGGAATTTTAGAGAATTTAAGAACTCTTTTGAGATTTAAAAAAATTTTAATGTTCATTAATACCTCTGTGAAGTATGTTACAGATGCTGACTCTGCTGTATAATGATTTATTTAATCTTTTATAATGCCTTTTGCCTATTTCAAGAATGACTAGTGTATTATTTGTCTCTCTAGCAAGTAGTACATTCTGATTAAGTGTATTTTACCTTGTTATGTTGGAACAATTCAGGAACAAACCTATCTTTCAAGGAAGCCTGTCCTTCAATTATATAAATCTGATTAATTTTCATTTAGTTTTACATGATTATAGCTTATTATTTGTTGATAAACAACAATAAAGTTCATTTAATTTTTTATTTATTTAAAATGTCAGGATACTATTTTAATATTAATATTAATGTTATTTTCCCTCTGTAACTGAATTTGAATGTTCCCACTTTAAGATCATAGTACAAGTCTATGATCCCCAATATGAAAATCCCGCCCTGACCGGTTTGGCTCAGTGGATAGAGCGTCAGCCTGCGGACTCAAGGGTCCCAGGTTCGATTCCGGTCAAGGGCATGTACCTTGGTTGCAGGCACATCCCCAGTGGGGAGTGTGCAGGAAGCAGCTGATCGATGTTTCTCTCTCATCGATGTTTCTAACTCTCTAGCCCTCTCCTTTCCTCTCTGTAAAAAATCAATAAAATATATTTAAAAAAAAGAAAAAAAAAAGAAAATCCCAAACACTATAAAACCCAAAGGTTTTTTTAATAAATTTTACACAAATTCATTTGAAAGCAAAACCTGATTTGAATTGAAATATGGCCATTTATCATTTTTATTTATCCAAGTTGGTGTGGGTATTTATACTTCACTGCTTCATTGTGTTGAGCATTGAGTATACTGTTTCATTATGGATGCCGCCTCAGCTCCTACTGGATACATCATATTACTTTTGTAAAATCTAAAAAATCTGAAATTTCATAGCACACCTGGACCCTAAGGTTTCAGTAATGGGATTGTGGGATTTTCTACATAAATCAAAAGTTGAAGATTATAGGAAGATTTTAGGTTCTCTAGTTCTACATATATTGAGAAAACATATTAATTTATATACAAATTTATAAAATTGTGTAATAAATAATGTTAAGTGAGGAAAGTCAGTCAAGGTATTTTTACTATGATTATAATACTAATATTATAACACCCCTTCTATCTCATTCTCTTCCTGACCCTACCACATACCTCTTCTTTCATTTTTTCCCCCAAGGTTATGCTTTTATTTTCTCATAAGTCCTTTTAGAGTTACTTTTAGGCAAATATTGTGAAGTAAATGTTCATACTTTTTCTTGTCCTCACTCTTTTACATGAAAGTTAGCATACTGTATATTCTGCTTTTGCTTTTTTTTTTTGCCATATGTTTTCTAAAGTTTTAAATATCAGTTCTTGAAGTGTCTTCTCATTATTGATGGGCACATGGGTTGTTCCCAGTGTTTTACTACTATAAACGGAGTATAATGAATAACCTTGTAACATACATAATTTCAGATGTATCAAAATGTATCTACACATTCTTGTAGGATAAATTCCTATAAATGTTATTGTTTGGTGAATGGGTAAATACACCATAGATTTTGTCAAATTACCCTCCTGAATGTTGTACCATTTTTTACTTTGACAGCAGGGCATTATGGTACCTGTTTCTTTGTCATGTTACTTACAAAATGTCTAGGCAAATATTTTCGTTTTAAATAGATGTAATTTACATATTCTAGGACAGTGATTCTCAAATCGGTTTGGAAGGAGGCGAGATTATGAGACTTCAAAAAATGATGGCATCTACTTATGTATTTGAGAATAAAGTCAAATATTTGGCTGTCTTCTGTCAGTTACTCTTATAGGCACTGAGGATACAGTAGTGAAGAAGGTGGACATAATGTTTAGTGAGATAAGTAAAAATTGATAAGATCATTACCAATGATATACTGTGGACTGGGAGTTAAGAGGAAGTAGGAGTTAAGATGCGGTGCTAGAAGGTGGTATGAGAGGTGGGACCTAAAGAGTAGCAAAGAATTAGTCTTGTGAAGAGCCAGCGCAAGATCCCTGCATGAACAGGGTCACAGAGTTCAAAAGCAGGAAAGAACTTGGTTGCTGAGTCTTGTACATAATGAAAAGCTTAATGAGATGAAGCCAGGGAGATAGGCTGTGACCCTACTTCTTATATGTAAATTTTTATACTCATGGCAACAAGTTTGGTTTTTGCTCTGTGGGAGGCTAGTGAAACATTTTAAGTAGGAAAGCAATATATGATATTTTTTCTGTTTTACTGTATTTGCTTCAGATTTTTTTACTTTTTGAAAAGATGCTTTTTTTAAAAAAATGTGTTTATTGACGAGAGAGAGAGAGAGAGAGAGAGAGAGAGAGAGATTGAAACATGATAAGAGAGAATCATTGATTGGTTGCCTCCTGGGGATCACACCCAAAATCCGGACTTGTGCTCTGACCTGGAATTGAACTGTGACCTTCTATTTCATGGGTCAATGCTCAACCACTGAGCACACTGGCTGAGATTTTTTTACTCTTGATTTTAAAATAATTTTATATTTAAAGAAAAGTGGCAAAGATAGTGCAGAGAATTTCCATAGACCCTTTCATCAGCTTGTCCTGATGTTAACATCTTACAGAACCATGGTACCTTTATTGATACTAAGAAGTGAATGTTGATACAATGTTAGTCCTAAACTACAGATTTTATTCAGATTTTCCTAGCATGTCTCAGTTTCCTCTAATCTGTGACAGCACGGATATTGTAGAATATGGTTTTAGAGTTTTTTCTTTGTGACATTTTGAGGTGGTGGGGTAAATATTATGCAGAATTGTGATACAGTCTAATTTTTACTATTATTTGTAATACGATGTAAATATTTATTAACATTTATTCTTCAGAAAGAATATGATTTTTAAAATATTATCTACTAACATTATTAGTATCCATATCTTTGTTATTCTGTTGTCCTGGTTAAGGGTTTCAAAGTTCTCAATAATAGTTCTTTTATAAAAAACTTAACTTTCAGTTACTAGTAATTTTTTTTCTTTTTTTTTTAATTAAATCTTTATTGTTCAGATTATTACATTGTTAACTCTCATAGGTGCACGATTTTTGTCCAGTTTCTTCCCGCATCTCCCATTCCCCTTTCCCCCCCAAGAATAGTCAGTCCATTCCCTTTCTATGTCCCTGATTCATTATAATCACCAGTTCATTCTGTACATCATATTATTTATTCACTTGATTCTTAGATTCACTTGTTGATAGATGTGTATTTGTTGTTCATAATTTGTATCTTTACCTTTTTCTTCTTCTTCCTCTTCTTAAAGGATACCTTTCAGCATTTCGTATAATACTGGTTTGGTGGTGATGAACTCCTTTTGAATGATATTTCTTAATATTTAAAGATAGGATGCTATCCTGTATATTCATTTCATATCAAGTTTAGGAGATAATGGCTTTTTCTTATTTGATGGGCTTATTTGTTATTTTCTAAATTTTAAGATAGGTTACAGTGTTTCTGTTTCCATATTAATTTATCTTTAGTTTGGTTAAGTGTATGGTTTATTATTGGCTTGTTTTGTCTGCCACCCTAGAACAAGGAAGAAGTGATGGCCGTGAGACTGCGGGAAGCAGATAGCATAGCTGCTGTGGCTGAACTGCAGCAGCACATCGCTGAGCTTGAAATCCAGGTACCATATGGACATAATAAAATACACATACAAATAACGCAATCGTTTCCTCTCCCTCTGTGCCTGAACAATTATATCTTCATCCTGAAAATGACTGTGATTCTGTTTTCAACACTTACTCATTTCCAAGTCCATTCTTTTTATTGTTGTAAGTGTACAGTTCCATGACATTAAGTACATTTACATTGTTGTGCAACTAATCTCCAGAACTCTTCATCTTGCAAACCTGAAACTCTATACCTATTAAATAACTCCCTATTCTCCTCTTTCCCCAACCCTTGGAAATCACACATTCTACTTTCTGTCTCTGAATTTGACTATTTTAGGTCCCTCATATAAGTATAGTCATGCAGTGTTTCTTTTTGTGACTGGCTTATTGCACTTAGCATAATGCCATTAAGGTTCATCCATGTTGTGGCATGTGTCAGAATTTCATTTTTAAGGCTGAATAATATTCCATTGTATGTGTGTACCACATTTTATTTATCCATTGATGAATACTTGAGTTGCTTTCACATTTTGGCTGTTGTGAATAATACTGCTATGAACATGGTGTACAAATATCTGTTAGAGTCCTTGCTTTCAATTCCACCCATAAGTGGAATTGCTGGATCCTGTGGCACTTCTGTGTTTAATTTTTGAGAAATTGTTATACTAATTTTCACAGCAGCTACAGCATTTTACATTCCCACCAGCAATGCACAAGGACAAAGGTCTCGATTTCTTCACATCCTCACCAACATGTATTAATTTTGTTTTCTTTTTTCAATACCAGCCATCCTAATGAGTGTGCCTGGTATCTCACTGTGGTTTTAATTCGCATTTCCTTAATGATTATTAATATTGAGCATCTTTCATGTGCTTATTTGTCTTCTGTGTATCTTCTTTAGAGAAGCGTCTATTCAAGTCTTTGCCCATCTTTTAATGAGGTTGTTCTTGTGTTTTAGAAGTTCCTTATAGTGTCAATCCCTTATCAGATATGTGGTTTACAAACATTTTCTCCCTTTTCATGGGTTGCCTTTTTACTCTTATTTCCCTTTATGTACAAAAGTTTTGGGTTTTTTTTTTTAAGTCTAACTTATGGGTTTTTTTGTTGTTGCCTGTGCTCCAAGTCCATTTTTGAATGATAATGATCACATTTCTATATTGTCAAAGCTGTTTTCAAAAGAAAACTCAAAGCTTTAAAAATAACTGTTTTGTTACTTCTTCTTATACAGTACTAGAGGCCTGGTGCACGGGTGGGGTCTGGCCAGCCCACCCTGATGGGGGCAGATCAGACTGGGCCGGCTGAGGGGAGGGACTGCGGGTGGAGCCAGCCGTGGGGGAAGGGTCGCAGGCGGTTGGTGGGCCGGCCCCACCCCCTGGTCGAACTCCCAGTTGAACTCTCGGTAGAGGGGACAATTTGCATATTAGCCTTTTATTATATAGGACTAGAGACCCAGTGCACAAGATTCATGCACTGGGAGGGTGGGGGTCCCCTCAGCCCAGCCTGCACCCTCTCGCAGTCCAGGGCTCTTGCAGTCTGAGACCCCTTGCTCCTTACTGCCCGTCTTCAGCGGAGGTGGGAGAGGCTCCCGCCACTGCCGCTGTGCTTGCCAGCTGTGAGCCTGGCTTCTAGCTGAGCAGTGCTCCCCCTGTGCGACTGCACTTACCACCAGGGGACAGCTCCTGAATTGAGCATCTGCCCCCTGGTGGTCAGTGCATGTCATAGCGACCAGTCGTTCCGCCGTTCAGTCGATTTGCATATTATGCTTTTATTATATAGAACTAGATGCTCAGTGCACAAAATTCGTGCAAGGGGCTCGGTCCTCACAGCCCCAGCCGGCCCTCGCAGCCCAGGCTTCATCTGGAAGGTTGTCGGACGGTCGTTCTGCTGTTTGGCCTAATTAGCATATTAGCTCTTTATTATATAGGATATATAGAATAAGGTAATACATACATTTCCAATATGGGCAAAGTATTATATTTAAAATCTTATTTCTCTCACAGCATTTTATTTTGGTCTGTTCCAGGCTATAAATAGTTTTATCTGCAAATCTAGAATTTTCTTCCCACCTGAAAAATAATTTTGTCCTTAAATTACAATTAAAATTCAGTTAATTTCTGCCCTAGCCAGTTTGGCTCAGTGGATAGAGCATCAGCCTGCAGGCCAAAGGGTCACGAGTTCAATTCCAGTCAAGAGCATGTACCTTGGTTGCAGGCTCCTCCCTGTCCCGGGGCCTGATTGAGGCATGTAGGATGCAACCAATCCATGTGTTCTAAGACTTACATATTATAATCTCATCTTTTGATCTGGGTCAAAAGTAATCACAACACATTATGATTTTTATAAGTTTATTAAAAGGTATCTTTTATGTCCTATTGATAATATTACCCATAAAGTAGCACATATTCAGAAAAACTTAAGGCATGCATAATATACTTATAATCAGCTATTTACATTGCTGTCATATGCAATTCTAGTTTAATATGTACTTTTCTAACATCAAGAAAATTATAAAAAATTTTATACATCAGTCACAAAATAGCAAGATTTAAATCACTCTTTTTATTGATTCTGAAGTACTTATTAAAATGAAGAACTTGGGACTGGAAACCATAAAAATACTAGAGGAATCCACAGGCAGCGAAATTGCAAACATATGCCGAAGGAATTTCTTCTCTGATAATGCTCCTAGGGCAATGAAACTAAAGAGAAAAATAAACAAATGGGACTACATCAAAATAAAAAGCTTTTGCACAGCAAAGGAAACCATCAACAAAACAACAAGAAAGCCCACTGCATGGGAGAACATATTTGCAAATGTTATCACTGATAAGGATTTAATCTCCAACATTTACAGGGAACTCATACAACTTAACAGAAGATAAACAACCCAGTCAAAAAATGGGCAATGGACCTAAATAGATACTTTTCGAAAGAAGACAGAAGAAAGGCCAAAAGACATATGAAAACATGTTCAAAGTCACTAATCATCCGAGAGATGCAAATCAAAATG